ACCTTAAAATAGTTCACCTTAGTGATAAAATTGTGCTAAAAACAAACTGAGGCAGCTCGCAACACAAGGGTCTTCACAGCTCAGGTTTGTGTGCAAAAACAAATAAAGAAAGGAAACCGGATTCCACTCACTTGGAATCAGTAGCGATCTCGTATCTTAAACGCAGTTTTTCGACAGAACATCAAGGGCGGCGCCACCGTGGGGGCAGTGGGGGCAGACTGCCCCCACTGGCAGGAAGCCGTGGGGGCAAGACTGTGTTTTTGCCCCCACAAAATTTGGCTGAAGTTGAAAAGGGAACAGAAGACCGGTGCAACATTCATGATAGGCGGTTATAATAGTAGTTGACGGTCCCCGTATCAAGTGCTTCAGCAGAACGTTCGTTCCCAGACCGTCTGTCGCATATCTCCTATTCCCTCTCATTCTCCTACTCATTTTCATTTACCAGAAGGCTGCCCTTGAGCTAGACCTCGAGGAGGTTGAGAGGCAGTTTGTCAAAAGTCGGCAAGAAAAGAGATCCTCTTTTGGGAACCCTAAGACTGAGACTGAGCTCAGGGAGGTATGAAAAATGTGATAGGTAGGTAATAGGTATGTATATCCGGTAGGGTGGCACTTAAAAATCAATTTTTGATTTTTAATGCGTGCGGGTGGTTTTCCGGTTCCATTCCCGTAAGAAATAAGGGAGGCAAATTTTTATGGGAAAATATTGATGTTTAGAGGTCGCGAATCAAGGTAAAAATTGAGATTTTGGTAGCATATTTCAATATCATTAAAATCGCTTCTGAGTTTCCTATTACGCTATAATCGGATGATAATAAGGCATTTCTTAGTCATTTTCATATTGTTTATTGATATTCCATGCAGCTTCGGCCACGCCAGAACGCTGGTATATGTACTCCACTACTCCAGTTCCTCCTCTTTAGTAGATTATTGGCGCCTCATTGGAGGGAGGGGTATCATGGGCAACGGGCACCCAGATCACTTTGTGTGTAGCCTGGTTAGCAATTGCAGTCGATCTTCGGGTGTCAGGTTAGCGTTTTCTGTGATCTTTTCAACGACATGGAGGAAGAACTGGCACTAACCTTTGTCTTCCATGAGTGCCAGTCCTACATCAGCGCCATACCGCGCCTGGTGAAGTCATTCACCACCCGCAGCTCCCGGACTACACGAGCTGCGGTTTGGTAGCCGCTGTCCTCCCAGTGGCCTTGGTCATTGATGATGAGCCCCGCGTCCAGGTCGTGTATCCTTGAGAGCTTTTTGAACGATGGTGTGAGGAAGCTCGCCAACGTCTCGGTCGCGAGAGCGGCGTTCATAGTGTCCACTAAGGACTTACGGGGCGGGTCCCCTCTCCTACAAGTCTATTGCCCGCACCATGTCTTGATTGAGCCCGAGGGTCGGGGTCTAAAAGCTCCAGAGTCACCAGCCGATCACTCAATTACTACAGGTGACGGCCGAAGACCGGGACTGTCGCCTTCGACAGCTCCTTGTCGGGGTAGGTGCAGAACGAGTTCACGAAGGTCAGATCCAGAGCCGGCGCAGTGGCAGTAGAGTCCCAGACCAGGCAGCGGCGGCGGCGGCGAACTTGCAGGCAACGAACAGCGCACAGCGTCTGATGACCTGGGCCTCGGCCGCCGTCAGCCGGAGCCGCTCCCTGAAGAGGAAGGCATCCACGGTACGGATGGTCTTTGCCATCCACCTAACTCAGTGGAGTACTCTGAGGCGGAGAAACGGATGCCGTGCTTGGAACTCCACCGAGAGCAGTTACGCAGAGCTCCAGAAGTTTTCGGTAGTCTTCCCGGAGCTAGGCATAGTCCAGCGATGGAAGCGATGGAAGCTTACCAGCAGCTTGTCCCACTCCGGAACGTCGTCGACGGCGAACGCCACCGGTGTGATCCTGTCAATGAAGCATGAACTCCCATCCGCCTTTGAACCTCTTAAACAGCCGGATGTAGAGGCCGCTCGAGATTCTACGGCAGGTGGAGAAGGCCTTCTCTAGGACCAGCTCTTACACGTGGTGCCGGCAGGCCAGCTGGAGGACGGGCCGATCCAGCTTCTGCTCGATAAGGGCAAGGCCCTAAATGATAAGGGCTTAAGTACCGTTCACCAGCATGCTGTTCGCCGTCGTGGCGTCGAAGCAAAAGGCCGCAGTTCCGCTTCTCCAGTTCCTAGCCTCCCAGCGCTGTGAGCATGGCCTCCTGTGCTTGGATGGAGGGGAGTTTGGGAACGGCGAGGAGCTTGGCCACCCTAATCCCCCCCCCCCATCACCAGGACCTAGAATCGGTCGACGCTCCTTCTCTCGCGGTTCAGGATTCGCGGTTCAGCCGGAGTCGTATCAGAAGTTCCGTGCCGCAGTTGATAACAGGCTCACGTGTTCTTCACACATTACGGTTGGGCAGTTTGGCCCGGTCGAGGCCAGTTCACTGTTGGGGACGTCCGCTCGCCCGCATGCGCTTGGGAGTGTGAGTCGACGTTTCTCTCTCATGGTCGCCATCGTCAAAGACGTTCCCTCCGTGTGCGCGCCGCAACGGCCGGGTAAGTCTGTTGCTGGCACTGGCACTATGTAGAGTCGGAAGAAGCGCCCACGGAAGAACATCCCGAAAGCACAATAAACCAGCGCAGCTCAATGCCCACTCTCGCCTCTGCTTTCCCCCGCCGGCGATAGGCTGGCTCCAACTTCTTCACATCCTCTTTGACAAAAAAGGAGCATGTCTCAAGAACCGATAGAACTGTGGGGCTCGTCCTCCCTTTGGAACAGGAGAGACCGTTCACTCCTCACACTCATAAGAGGATATGACCTCCACTGTGAGAGAGAAGGCACCGGTCGCAGGCCAAAAACAGGCCTGACATGGGTAAAACAGCCCAGATCAGACCTGTCTTGGCGTGACCTGGACTGGCTACGATCGACCGGAAGTGATGGGATAAGCAATTGTTATACAAATAAAGGTCAAAATACGTCGGATATGACGCTTAATGACCACATATGTCATTCCAAATAGGTTTAAAGTAGTTTCCAAAAAGTTGATTTTTTTCCCCAAAACTGCCAACTTTGACCTCAATTCGCGACCCCTAAATATCAATATTTTTTCAAAATTATTTTGCACACATTATTTTTTACGGGAATGGAACCAGAAAACTACCCGCAGGCCTAAAAATCGGATAACATAAAATTCACCCTATTGCTAAGTGCCACCCTAAATTATCCGGGTTATCTGGAAATGCATGTGGGTCGCCCTTATGGAGCTTATTCTGGTATATCAATCGTGTGTGAGAGAATCGCACATATGTATACGTACTACGGAAAAAAAAGAGAACTAGGTACTGACTATTATTTTGAGGAATAGAATACACCATTTTACATCTCAACGAACGACATAATGTTTCCACAGGTTTGTGTCTCGCAATCTGGTTTTATAGTTTCATTTGTTCGCGACCTTAACCCGGCCGGACCCGGGGGTAATCCCAACCACCGCAGCCCGGGGGTAGCCCTCCCCCACTTGTCTAACTCCGTAAATAAGGCAGCTATGGAAACAAAAATGGTACCAAGCGAAAGGTATCTACGAGCAGATTCTAAAGCACCTAAACTTTTTGACCTCAGGTCAATTTTCAAGGTCAGAAGTCAAAGTCAAAGGTAAAAACCGGCACATTTGTAGTGGTATCAAAGTACGGGTTCCAGAAGACGGTATGGTGCATAAAACCGGCTAAAATGGATGTTAAACGAAAGAAGCGTCTGGGGATTCCGATGAAGTGCATAGCAATCAAATTCAAGGTCACAGTCATGCTAAAAATTGACCACAAACTTTGCACTTTTTCTTTTATCTTGTATACTAAATTCCGAGATGTTTTGAAATGTTTTGAAGCTTAGCAGACCCCTATTTGTGCCTTAGCATATACGATACAAGGCTGCTACAAGGTCAAAGTCACAAGAGAATATCCTTGCTAGAGGCGATTTCACTTAAGTCAGGCATAATAATTAAGATATGTTTTGCCATCCTGAGGCTCTAAATGAATGCTTGGAGCAAAATGGATACCAAAATCATGATCAGCGGCTACCAACTCATCACAAACGACCTTTCATGTGTCAACTAGTCAACCAAAGGTCATTCGAGGTCACATGAGGTCAACATAAAACTTGACCTTTTCCAAAAAAAAAAAACATATATGTATGTCATTCGACGCGTCTCGACGTGACGAATGCGAAGGTACCTCTGCCGTAGCTCTAGGACCATTTTTGTTGAAGTTATTTGCGAAAAAAAACTAAAGCCCCAGCTCGGACTCGTTGACCTGACCTCTGACCTCAGGTCACCAAAGTTACATAAGTATTTTTCTAGGTCAAATGCTACACAACCGTGCTCGTAAGTTGTCTTTATCTCTAAAACTATTTTCGGCAGCTGGTTCAAGTTCACGTCTGTGACGTCGAATTTTGTCGTGCAGGAGTCTAGAAAAATCGGCCAGTGAGACGTTATCAATGATGAGGCTAGGTCCAAATGTTTTTGCTTCAAAAGATGTCAAATTACCTAATGGGGGATAAGGTACAGCAAGTTTCGTCTTTCTATCCCTAAGCGTTCATGAGGTATCGCATATATTCGCCAGGGGAGGCGAAAAACGCCCCCCCCCCCCTTCCGGGCCCGCGAGGGTAAGCTCAATACGTAGGTATGCATGAAACCTGAAACCATAATAATTTTGAATGGCAGCATCTAGGAACAAGGTGCTCATGGATTTTGCAGGACGGCTATCAGACCACAGTTGGGTCACCTCAAGCTTGCCCCCACTGGCGAAAATTCGTGGCGCCGCCACTGCAGAACATCATGAGTACAGCTAATCGCCCCGGAAAATCTCTCTCTCTCTGTCTCCCTCTCTCTCTCTCTCTCTCTCTCTCTCTCTCTCTCTCTCTCTCTCTCTCTCTCTCTCTCTCTCTCCCTCTCTCTCCGTCCCTCTCCTCCTCATGCACCAATAGCAGTCGGCCCAGATCAGACACAGCAGCACCACCATTTGTAAGTACTCACTCGTCGGCGTGAAAGTGCAGGTCGGCCAGCATGTGCTCGGTCAGAGACGGGAAGATGCCCACTTCGTTCGGGTCGCACGGCAGACTGAAGGACGCTCGCAACGGCAGATGCTGAAAGGAAGAAACGTTGGTCAGTTTTGGTCTGGAAACGCTCATGATGGAGAATAAGTAACTTGTAACTTGGTGAAGGACATACATAAAACATAATCATCCACCCAAGATACACATCGATGACAGGGAATGAGCACAAAAAAGGACCAGCAACAACACGCCAGAACAACTCTTACCTTTCAACCTCGAACCCTGTCAATGCTGCCTAAGCGCTCAGCCCGCCACACGGTTCCTCAGGCCTGCTACCACCGATCTCTCCAAGCTCTCAACTGCCCTCCGTGGACCTCAGCCACCCCAGGGGCAGACTCTGACTCCAAACGGAGAGGCCGGTCGCCATCTGCAGCGATACCGCGTCCCAGACACGTGCCTGCTGTCCTCCGATCACTATCAAGCCCACTTTCTGTGGCACCGCCGCTCGGTCACGGGACAGACAAGCCACGTGACGCCGCTGCGGCCACAGAACATAGGGCACGTGATGTGGGATGACCTCCGCGGTGATGTCGCTGGGCGGTGGGTCCTGGCTCGGAGACTCAGCGACCGAGGGTGACGGGAGATAGCGAATGATGTAGGTGAAGTGTCCCACGTGCAGCCACGGTCATCGGGGCGATCAAAAGGTCCGGGCCATGAAGAAAGGGAAGCAGAGAAGAATGAAAAATGGAGGGATAAAGGACGGAAGGACAATGGAATATATCGTAGGCGGACGAATGAAGAAATAGATTAGGAAAGCCAGAGGGACTCAAAGGAAGAAAGGAGCGATAAGAGAACCTGGCGCTGGTGTTAAAAACAATAAAGAAATGCGGTGAGCCGTAGCGTGAAACTTACTCGGTGTACATATAAATTTAAGCAACTGAATCAAACACAGAGGCAAAAAAGAATTTCAATTCGACACGACAACGCCCACAGCCGCACCGATAACTTATCAAACAATAAATTAACCAAGGTAATTCGCACGTGGAACGCAGATGATGTCAGTCATTTGATACGACAGTTGGTCACAACAACTCACAATATCAGTGCCCTAAAAGGATCTCAAGATTTCAGCGGAGTGTTCTGATAAGGTGATCGGAGCTCTTTGATTTCGACAAGTGGTGCCGTATGTCAAGGAACTACCGCCTACTTCTGTAAGCGTCGGAGCATGCTCAGGAGCCAGCGGCCCTAGATAGGTAAACCAAACACAGAACGACGCGAAATAAAACAGCATGACAAATAGGAAATGAACAATTACTCATGCTGACTAATGACTATTGCCGCGCGATAAAACACAACGCTCCTTTTCTCTAGATTCGTATGGAAGCATCCGATACAGCAGAACTAGAGAAAAACCCTCAGGCAGTGGCATCAGTCAGTACGTCACCCACCCTCAAATTCCACCGACCAGGGACAGAATGCTGACCCGTAAATCATCCCCGGGTTATCATAAAGCACCGACCCGGCGAGGGTCAGACCGCAGACGGGCATAACTCCTCCGAGTTACCGGCGACAGGTGACCTCGGCTGGAGGCAGTGGGACGACCCCCGCGTCCCGCATTTGTCGACCGTGACCCGTGCAAAAAAGTCTGCTCTCCGTCCTCACGTATTATAAGCGTTAGCAGGCATGGCGGTTTAAAATCGCTGAATTTTATGAACTTTAAATTGTGAAAAGGGCGCCTTCGTTAATTCAGTCAGTTATAAAGAAAGAGCCCGGTATGTTGGTAATGGTCATGCCTGAAGAAATCACTCAATTATTTCCTGATCATGTCACAAATTCTCATCAACGGTTTCATCTACCCTGAATGTCAGGAGGCGAACGTATATAACGCGATAACCAACGAAAAGAACATACGCCATCCGAAGGGGTACAATTTCATCCGCTGAAATTACCCCTCGAGGTGAGATCAGTACCCGTTCGCGGCAAATACGGCGCAGAGCACCGCCCATACAAGCCGGCGCTGCGCGTATGGTGACGTTTACGGCGCGTAAACCAGCGCCGTCTGAATCAATCGGCGCAGCCCGCGGCGGCGCTCGGTGGCGAATAGTGTCGCGTCAGGTTCGCCGCATCGCCGCCAGACGTCGCGCAGGTCGACAGGGGGCTGTCCTGGCACGTCAGGGCCAGGGTACTGCTCCCTGCTCAGTCTGGGCACGACAGGAAATGCAGGACTGATACGCCTTTTTTATCGTCAAGATCAACTCATCCGTATCGATGATTACACAAAGCTGCTCGTGCTGATGATCACCAGACACCACAACGTAAACAGTATTGTATTGTATTGACAATTAAAACACTCTCCATATTAAAATGGCTATTCTGAGTGTCGCGTCTGAGTTAAAAGGGGAAAACGAGTTAAAATGCACCCAAATCACAGCACTCAGTAAACATATCGAACCATTCACTCATCCCTAAATACGTAAAAACCACTCGGAAACAGAGCGTTTAAAACTTCCCATAGAGAGGCTCCTAAAATCATGGGGCAGGCGATTATATAACTGGGCGATGCTGTAGAGCAGACGGCGCCTCCCTGCTTCGGTCCTCACGCGTGGGAGAGCCAGATCAGTGTCCCGCCTTGTCGAGCGTGAGCGCAGGGAAGAGTTGGTCAGGATTTGAGAGGATATAGTCTCCGGCTCCCCAGTGCAGCGTATTTTGTGAAGGAAATTGAGTGAGTGGATTTCGAACAGCTGACGGGCGGTGGGCCAACCCAGTTCCTCTCGCACGTCCGATATGTGGTCAAATTTTCTTCGGCCAGACACAACGCGCAGCGCAAAATTGATGACTTTTTGGAGACGTTGTATGTTTTTGTCCGAGCCGTTTCCGTAGACCGAGAGACAATAACGGACGTGCGAGAGGACCAAGGCGCTGACCACAGTAGGCAGGAGTTCACTAGGGATGTGGTGACGCACGTGGGACAGCCCAATGAGGATACCGTTGCATTTTTGGACGAGGGCCGATACGTGAGCGTCCCAGGTGAGGTGCTTGTCGAAAACCACGCCAAGGTTCCTCACCGTAGGGCCCTCACGGATCGTGTCCTCACGGAACCGAATCGAGATGGGATCCAAGCCACGGCAATTTTGACGAGAGCCAAACATGATGAGTTCAGTTTTGTTAGTGTTAACTTTCAAACCGTTGGTATGAAACCAGGCGTCAAATGAGTCCAAAATTTGTTCCAAAGTTGCAATGAGATGAGGGAGGGAGTCTTTTTTGCCAGATAGTAAGATTTGAGTATCGTCAGCGTACTGCACCACGTGCGCCCCAGGGGCGTAGAGGGGGAGGTCATTGGCAAATATTTGGAACAGGAGCGGACCGAGCGAGCTCCGATGGAGAAACTCCGATGGAGAGCGAACCCCGAAAGGGGCACGCCCCTCCGGCTATGCGGCTTGATCCGCCAAGACATTCCCTTTCTATAGAATCGGTTCGGACACTGCAGCACACCCACAGGCCCCAGTGTCTCAAACTTATTCTCTGATCCCACAAGTTCTGAAAGATCTCAATTGACCGAAAAGGCCTAATTAACGAAAGAAAAATAAAACGCCCGAGATCCCGGGCTCGCAATCACCAGCCTATGCTCTGAATTAACTTGTAACGTTCCTCAGTCTGATTGGACATTGCTCCTGCTTGTGACGCGACACTAACGAACACGGCAACACCTGTTTTTCTAGCGACAACTGGATGCAATGCAAGCCACACGGTTGAGAATTAGTCTGCTATAATCGTGGGCTGGGTGCGGAGTCCTGAAGAATGGTGTCACGGCGGCCACAAGAAACGCTCGAGTATGTCGATGACATAGGTAGCGCCACTGCGTCTGACAAATTAATTGACATTGCATTCAGCTGTCAGCATTGACGCGGTGTGCACGATTGAATAAATTGGAGTCATTTCCCGCTTAGCAAAAAGGTCACCGTGCTCATGCTACAACAAAAACGTGCCGCTTCACAAGTCTGGCCAATTTTCATGCATTTCGAATATTAAAAAAAAAAACTGTAAGTCAATAATGTAGCCATGCCGACACGAGGTAGCCATAATGGTTAGTAAGTTTTGATCGGAATTGCTGACAATATTCTGATATTGTTTTGAAACGTGTAGAGCAACGATGATTTTCCGCTGACCATACTATGTATGTGGTGCCTCCACCCCATTATCAAAGCGCCCATTTTCACTTTTTTTCATTAAATACGAAAACATGTTGCATACGCCGTTAGGTATCAGAATCCGACTACCTTCAAAGTCATAGTATAGCCTAGGCCTGCAAAGCATCAAGCACCGTCACTTAATCCTTGTTTGTCACCAGGTGTGAAGAAGGAAAGTGAGCAATCTACATCACAACAAGCCACTTATGGAGCAGCCATCAGAGGACACCGAAAGGCTGGTCGCTGCCGCTCGCTGACTCATACACACGTAAAATTTTCCATCTTTCCTGTCACTTGCAGGAAAAGTGAACAAACAGTTCACGGGATGGCACCGAAGTGCCAGCCGGCTTGGTAGGACAAAGTCTGGGTCGCATCCCTGACAGCCAACCGCTGGAAGAAGCTGGCACGACCCGTTAGAGGACCGAACAGTTCATGGACTCTTGACAGCAAGGCACGATTGGTGTGCTCGTCGAATAGCTGGCATGTGTTAGCTAAAGCGCGAGTTTCGCGTCACTTGCAGACATTCGCACGCTCGGTGAAATTTATGCATTTCACAGCTGGGTGTGACGATGAGAGCGGATATGCGTGACGTTGTGTCAGGGCGATTTAGCCATGTGTCAAGTTCGCTGGTCGTTTTGTTCGTGATTTTAGCATGGTATACGTGGGTTGAATTATGAAACCGGAACTTGTGTGGTTACTCTGAGTCACTGAAAGGCGGAAAAGAAATTGAATGGATGACTAACCGGCTGACTGACTGACTGACTACCTGTCTGACGAACTCAACACCATGTTTTTCACCTTCCTGGACTTATACCTTGGGACTACCTTCCGATATCTGTGCTGTAAAGGGTTTACCTACAGCACTCAGAGACTAGTCCGCAATTCTTTCAAGAGGACGACTCGAAGCACTTCCGCGTCTGGCAGCTCTAGAGAATTGACCTGCCGCACACCTATCGAAGGACCTGAGGTGCCCTTGAATGGCCGACCTACGGTGCGCTGACTGACCGACCTGGAGTACCTATCTCTGTGTTGGGCAGTTCCAGCTAGGAATGCCCTTTTTTGGCACTACCTTTCGGAAACAGACCTCTGACCCCTCACCGCGACCGTGACCAGGCCACCTGACCCTGTCACGTGGTCGGCCGAGCGTGCCCTAAGGCCGTGTCCTACTTCGATCGCGCTGGTTCCGTTGACGCAAAGGGGAGCAATGACCAAATATCCAAGGGCTAATCAATTTCCGGACACCCTGTATATCTAGTTCGGTTGGGAGCTCCCAAGTTCTGTGCTTTGGTAACTGTGCGGGACTAACCTGCGGTATGTCTGCGTCGGGGTCGTCGGGCACCTCCTCCACGGTCGGCATACTGCAGAAGCGGGTCCGTAGGGGAGCGCTCAGGGCGCCATCTGAGACACACAGACACGGCACGGGTCAGCGGGCTGGCACGGAGGTCGGGTTGAAGATACAGCGCATCTGATGCACGTTTTACAGTGCCTCAACGTTTATGTAATTTATGTTACAAACATCTAGCTAACCTACTCTATTGGACACGCTGAAGTTCGCACAAGTTTTGAAAAAAAACTTCATGATACACAAACAAGCCAGGCTAAAAGTTTCTTACAAGAAAGCATATGGCGGATATCGCAAGATAAACAAGCATCGAAGTGGGTATTCGATGAAGTGAGATGGTAAATGTCCTCTCACTATGCCAGATGTGTGATAACCAAAGTGCTAAGCTTGTCATGCCTACCTAGTCTGCCCCTCCGCCTTGCTTGCATAATCAAAGTGATATGGAGGGCCATGTTAAAACGCACGCGACCTCGCCTCGGAACACATTTCCATGTCATGCAGCAGTCGAAACTAGGGAATGACTACACCGCTGTGCGTTTCACGACATTCAACAAGCGCGGTCACCATAATCAACACAAGACTGGGCGAGGCCACACCACGTATCGTACAACACTCCAGCAAAGTCACCGGCCTCAGACTGCACATACACCAGTCGGATTATGCAAATGGCAGCCGTTAAATCCCGGTAAGACGCCGCTCCGCTCGAGTGGAAAGGTCCTATACGGCCGGGCAGACCCCGCCCGGTTCGCCGAGGAATGGTACAGGAGAATATGGGAGACGCGTTTGAAGCAGCTAATATTAACTATCAATATGGAGAGCCAATCAGGATCGAGGACTGCACAGAGGCGCGCGTAGCTATGGCACTGAGTAGGTCGGGCAGAAATGATTATGAAATTCGAAATAATTTGAGCGGCTAGCTTCCGGCAACATCAATCACAAATAATTAACAGGGAGATAGCGCAGGCCTAAAAGTAACGCATCTTCCGAGGTAGCTTTTCCGTGACCGGAAAACGTGACTGAACTAAAACAGCAGCGTCAAGTGATGCGGACTAGCTTATCAGGGTTCGAGCATAATCGACGGACACTCTGAACTTTGTTCTTCGCGTGAGGCACCAAGTGGCAGCCAATGGCTCTTATCTTGTCCTCGGCATGTGAACAAGCGTGAACTACAAAGAGCCAAGCCCGGAACCAGTCACGCCCATGTGTTCCTCCGACACCGCCGCAGCTGCTGACCTCTTCCAGCCGGCTATCAGTATCCCGTTCGATATCTGGTCCAGTATCCATGTCTTATAGTCGCCCTTCGTCTCTCGATTAGCACACAATAGGCGGCTGCCCAGAGGGGCGCCAGTGACACGACCCACGTGACAAAGAGGACCGGCACCGTCCTCGGCGACTCAGCTGAGGTCAGGTGAGAGCCGATGGACGGCACGATGATGTTGAACGGGATGGAAGTGATGGCAGAGTTGATGGTAGTGACGGCTACTGTGGAAAGAATGGTGGAAACGACAGAGTATGGGTAGCGGTGGCGTTGAGTTATCAATCATCAGCCCGTGTATCATATGGGTCAGCTGGGGTTTTCGGATGGTTGCTGCCTTGCTGAGCCGGGAGACAGCCACATAGTCGACAGTGGAATGGCAGCTCGTCAAACAAGTTGTCAATCCGACAATTAATCAGACAGCTAACAGACGGAAATAAGACGCAAAAACAGCGACTGAATTGTTGTCGAACCTTGGTTATGTTGTAAAGTCCATAAAAAAATTGTCAAGAGTGTATTTGGTGGGCACTAAAATGGAGAGTTAAGCTTTCGTCCTTGGAGAATCGTGGCTTAATTACTAAATTTCATGTTGGGCATCGAAGTGTCCGGATGGTCCAACATTGATTTACATGCATTACACGCAAATCAAATTCCTCATTATACTACTTCATGGCGTGACTTGGCCCTCGCATCGTGTATGGGCGGCGCCCTATTAACAAACCTCTCAATCAATCTACTGTAGACCAGCCAAAGTACCATAATCCTAATCGATAGTAATTACATCCTCATCGATAAAAACGGGGACTGGGTGAAAAACTGGCCCCCGGGAGTCGTACAAAACCACCTGATTGGTGGCTGAATGAACTGTCCGACACGCAGCTCCCGAGAAAACATGACCGGAGCAGCGAAGGAACGGTGTAACGAGACAGCAGGAGTCGCGGGAATGTTACACATAGCCGGCGGAACGGGGTGGCACCGGGGCACCGTGTCCCCCTTAATTTTGCCATTTTAACATTAGCCCTATGGGCGTTGCATGGAAAGAATGGGACCAAAAGTCGGCAGTGCCCCCCTTAATTGAAGGTGTTCCGCCGCTACTACTTACACCGAGGAACGGTGTAACAGACAGCTGGCGTCGCAGGAATGTTCACCGAGGAACGGTGTAACGAGACCGCCGGCGTCGAGAGAATATCGAGAAACGAGCAGGGATGCCGGTTCTCATTTGTTTAGTTACCTATGCACTGGAAAACACCGAAGGGTGAGCCGTTTCCGCGATTCTAACAATGCACAGCACTCAGCAGTTTCAATTCAGGTAAACCCGGAACATACAAAGTCAAGTAACTAGCAAAGAGGAACTGCCCTGGAGCTTTACAATGATGCACAACAATTCTTAAAACTAGTACATAGGTAACTGCCATTGGCCAAATCCCATCATCAATCATCCTCAGCACCTATCCCATCATTGCGTGCAGATACTGGTTCAGATGCTTACCAAATTAACAACAATCTGCGAATTCGATGCCGGATCCACCAGAAGTCCACACCGGACCAATTCAAACCACTCTTATCCGCTACCTTCTGCACTTCTCAGTTCTGTCACTCTCCGTCCCACGTCCACGCCCTGGAGACACCCGTCACCTCTTGGGTCACACCCACACCTCGGCTGCTATCCCAGTGCTGTCCGTCCCACCGCTCCCACCGGGCCATGAGAACCGGGCCGTGTCGCGCAGAGCACTGCGGGGCGGCGCGGCTGTCGGGCAGACACCGCTGGCCCGATAGCATCCACCGCCAGCCGCTGTGTCAATACGCGTTTGTCGCCCCCGCCCCGCCCCGTCGTCACCCAAGGGCTGGTGAGACGCCTCCTCTGCAGAGTTACAGACGAGAGGGCGTCGGTGTGGTGCACACAGACAGGCAACGGGTCCGACGTCACGAGCCGTGGTCCATGCAGTCATAAAACCAACTTTTACGTGCTGTCCCGCGCTGTATAAATAAGGGTACGCGTAAATTTAACGAGCCGGCCGTATATGATTTGCTCAGGGGTTGGATGAACGGGTCTGGGCTTGACCACGTGTATCTGACAGTGGTTGCACGCTGTGCAATAGACCACGTGTCGGCCTCGGATCTAGCTGCCATGACCAGTGAGCAGATAGGCAATGCAAGATTAGGAACAGATGACAGGCACTTAAAGACCCATGCCGTGAGATATGCCGTATTATTGCAACGACTTTTATTTGCGCTGCACTTTCACAGGAGTTTATGTTCATAGAGGGATTAGTCGGGTTTCGGTTTCATTGCATCCTGTTCTTTGATGGCTGGTCTATTAGCTGGCGAAGATCAAAGAGTTACTGGAACTAAATGTCCGCCACGGAACAACTACGAGCAGGGGCTTTGGGCGGGACGCGACTACGGTACTGCCACAATCTTCAATGCCTGTCAGTTCTTATGATCCGAAAGGTTCTAACAGCTGACATTAAAAAAAAAATGCGACGGTCATTTTAGTTGGAGAAAGTCGAGACATGTGTACCCCGTGTCATAAATATAGCAACATGAAATACGTCAGGAAATGTCTAAGCATGGCCATGTATGCCAATACTTTTAGAGCCTTGGCCGGACCATTTTAACCATAAGTGAGATGCACTGTCATTTGGGGATCGCACTTTGCAGAAAATGAGCCAAGAAATCCAACATCTTCTTGGTATTGGGATACATTTATATGTTCACCGTGCAAGGCACCTTAATTGCACGCTCACTTTAATTCAATTACCGGTACCAATTAAGTAATAAGGACTTTTGCCGCTGACTGAATGGTGGCGCACTTAGCAGCAACACACCACCCTCAATTATCTTTTTAGAACGTGGCGCCGTTAAAAGGTAACGGCCCAGTAAGTGGTCCCAATATACCATGTCGGGTCACATTACACTTGGAGGACATCAAAGACGAAGGGCGCCAACCCATGCATAACAACGACGACACCCTATGTCGCTGGACACACGGCCGTCACATTTGGTCCGCGGCCGTACCGCACGAGAGCGGTGGCTTGTCTTCAGACCACACAGGAGACCATTGGTTGACTGCAATAACATGTCCATTTGCCCGCTTCCCAGTCACATCAGTTGCGCATGACTGTGAGCGATTCCATGTGTATTGTGCACGACTCCTTCTAAGCCCTTCTCAGTTACGACTCAGAGAGCGTCACCAACCACATTTGACCCGCCTAGCGCCGTCCAAACCGGCGCATAAAACACATGGTCATTGCAAAGCCAATCGCTTACAGTCCTAACCGAGCTCGACGAAGTACCGCATTGGCTCCGGCATGGTGCGACTGGAAGTTCCTCTCTGTGAGGCACGTTTGCCGAGGTAGTTACCGACACCAGTCGAGGTCGCACGCCGAGAGGCCAAATTGGCGGCGCGCCGCGGCGCCGGCCGCTAACGTCTCACGCGCGCCACATCAGGCCGCGCCGCCGCGCCAATCGATAGCACAAAGCGGCGGTGGCCATAACGGCGCACACCTAGCCAATTAGGCGCGCCAGTTTCGCCACGGCCGGCCGTCTCATAAGTGGTTCAGCCGACCCCATCAGCCGCCGGGAACAAGCCGACGAGGGAAAACGGAACTGGGAACAACAACGGTACGGAACGGGATGGGTTACCATAGTGGTTCATAAGGCATGAACAACATAAGCAATAAGCATGCAATTAAAGTTGAACAGATTGGAGTCGCCATCCGCCGTTCAACACTAGAGCGGTTTCTTGAGCACAGCTGACAGTAGGTTTCTTGAGCACAGCTGACACCTAACTATCATGAT